AAAAAAATTGCTTTCTAAAAATATTTTTCAAAAATTATTTTTTCTTGTATAGACTATAAATTTTATAAAGTCTATTCTAGAAAAAATAATTTTTAAATTTTGTTTAGAAAGCAATTTGTATGCTTAAAAGATTTTTAAAGTTTTACCCAATTTGGCCTAGAAGCTTTTGAGACATTTAAAAAAAGCATTTTTTAAAATAATTTTAACACCCCTGTATCTAAAAAACAAAGCTTTAAGACATACAAGTTTATATGAATTTTTCTTCATAGTTTTGCATTAGTTCTAGTGTCGAAAAAAAAAACGGAAAAAATGGGGAAAAACTGTTCTTTTCCGTTTGGGAAAAATTGAATGTTTTTTGAAAAATATACACATTTGAAAAAAGTAGCAATGAATAACTTAACATTATTATAATCTAAAAAAATATCTAAACATTAAATTAAATTGATTTAAGAAAATAAACGTAAACGTTAAATATATATATATATATATATATATATATATATATATATATATATATATATATATATATATATATATATATATATATATATATATATAATATACCGACAGTATATACTGTCGGTTGGGTCTTTTTGCAAAAAAAGAGTCCATTAAAATTGTAATTTTATAAAAGTGTCAAATAAAGTTATGTTTAAACAGCACCGAATATGTGTTTTTGCAGCCCGGTAGAATATTCTTACTAAATTAAAATAAAAGGAATAATTATTGTAATCATAATATAATGATTATAATCAGCGTCGGAAATTCAATTTTTTCTCAAATTCAGTGTTTGGATATCCGTAAAAAGTTGGAAATTTTCAGCAAAATTTACTTTTGCATTTTTTCTATTACCACACAACATGAATTGTGTATTACCCTTTGAATAAAATTTTAAAAATGAAAAAGTCAATTTTTCTGAAAATTTCACAATTTTTTCTTTTTTTTTCCGCCTGTTTAATTTTTCCGGAAATTTTAAAACCCTAGTTCTATGGCCTATTACTTGGCGAAGCTCTGCAACCAATACTTTAAACTCCCCTCCCCCTTTTAGTGTCACAAGATTTATGGACTGCACATAATTTAGAGGTCCTAAAACAGTTTTTTAAAATGTCGTAATTTGGGAAAATACTGAAACTTTTTGCGATATAGTTTGTAAAAAGGACATTTTAAGACAAAGAAAGTCATAAGTAAATTAAAAAAAAAGACAGGAGGCAACTCTAATCCCACAGAAGCTGGAAAATCCTTTTTCTATGTGGAAAATGGCTGCAGTGGTCTTTTTCTGACCTTTCCTTAGTAGGTGGTTCACGGGAATTTTTGAGATTGCGAAAATGGTTCAACCGTAAAAATCTTTAGCCGATTTTCAGCGACCAGCTAATGGAATTTACGAAAGCGCCTTTGCAAATTTAATAAGATAAATAGAGCATATTTTGAAAATCGGATTTAAATTTTTATTAAAATAAAAATGTTATGTTTTAATTAAGTTTTGCGTCGCTGTACGTTTTTATTTGCTAGGAACTTCATTGCAAACAAGGCTCTTCAAAATATTGCGGAAACAAAAGCTGATTGAGAAAAATGATGAAATATGTACTTGAAAAATTTATATTATACTAAGTGATACCATGTAACACCCACAGGGTGATTCAGAGTAAAACCAGTTAATGGAAACGATACTCTTTTAGTATTCCCACAACAAAAATCCGGGCGCACAGGTTCCGGTGACCAAATTTTGAAATTGTGGGGATACGGCTCTAAAGAGTATTATTTACATTAATCCCCCAACCAATACAAACCAGTTAAAGAATAAGATTTGGGAGGCCATTACTAATATTCCTAGTTTTTCAATATTTAAGGACTAGATTGGAGGAGTGCTTTGATCAAGACATTTGGAAAACATAGTGTTTTATAAATACAATCCGCATGTATGTAGTATCATAATTGAAACTGAATTTAACTCACAGGGTAACTTAATTTTATGTAATACCTGAAAAGTATTAAGCGTTTTGCGTAATTTGTACAAATTTGGCCTGGTTTACAATAGAGACCCTCATTTTACCAACTAGAATCAACTTCTTTGCCACGAGACTTTTAACTGTACTGACAGTTTCATAGTTGATTGACCAATATTGCCCTGCTAAGCAAGAAAGTCATATCTGACAATTTGTTGATTTGGAATAATTTTAATTTAAGACTACTTTTCTTAGTAACAAACTATTTTTTTGTAGTTAGGACAAAATAAATAGAAGATTTATCATTTTATTAATGCAGATAAAGCATTCTGGGTTAGTGCAAAACATGCAGAAATGCCCAATCTCTGATTTAGATATGACAGTTCCATTTCTGAAAAAATGTCAGATACAACCTCCTTGCTTAGCAGGGCAGAATAGCCCTGCTTAAAATACCCCATAGAGACCTATACAAAATAATCTATCGGGCGCTATGGTTTTTTCCGGATACGGCCCTATAGAAAATTTATAGGAAATTACCTATAGGCACACCATAACTTTTACATTTTCCCTATAGAGACCGATAGCAAATAACTCAATGAAGGATATATAGAGATATCCCTATAGAACAACCATAAAACATTTGACAAAATTTTATTAAAACCTATTGGGTCCTATGCGGGAAAAACAAATTTCTACATTTATGTGTATTTTCCCCATTAAAACCAATAGCAAATAAATCAAGGGTGGAGATCCCTATAGAACAACCATAAATTCCAACTATGGGTCCTATACATACCGATACACCCTATAGAAACACCATACATTCTGATACAAATATCTATTGGTTTGAACATGGTCTCTATGAGGTATTTTAAGCAGGGAGGGCTATCACGTGCAAAATGTTTATTTTAGTCATGGTACAAGAAAACCAGGTATGTTCTTGCGCATCTGTTTTCACCTCTCCATTGACGAAGAGTTGGGAGCACCCAGTCGCCGCCATATTGACTATTTACATTTTGATGTGAGTTGTTTTTTAAGCTTTTTTAAAGGTTTGTAAGTGTAAAAAACCTGTAAATCCCTTAGTATGGGCTTAAAAAATTGATGTTAAGGATAGTAGATTTATTTTAAAAACAATTAAATGGCAGTAGTTTTTTTAGAGGTACTTTCCTTTTGTATTAACAAATTATCTGTAACAGTTATATAAACAAAAAATAGTTTAGGTTAATGTTTTAGGTTAATATTTTTGTTAGTTTTTGTAGCTTGTATTTCGGCCATTTCAAGCGGATGGACGGGACAAATCACAAAACTGTTTTTATAAAAAAAATTGTAGCTAATTTATTATATATTATTTTTGCATCAAAATTGTCAAAAAAATTCTTCTATTATTAGGGTATACATTAAATAAAAAAAATCGCAAGAAATATTTTATAAAAGTAGAGATAATTTCAATAATTGACAGGGATGGACAAGACAAGATAAATCTTTTTTTTGTCCCGTCCACACCTTTCAATTATTAAAATTATATCAACTTTCATAAAATATTTCTTGAGTTTTTTTTTATTTAATGTATAACCTAATAAAAGAAGAATATTTTTGACAATTTTGATGCCAAAATATTATATAATAAATAATCTACAATTTTTTTTATAAAAACAGTTTTGTAATTCGTGCGTTTCGCGGGCTTGAAATGGCCGATTTGTTCAATTTACTTTGAAGATAGTTGCTATAAGAAGGAAAATTTGATAAAAAAACATGCAAACTACATTCCTATAAAAATGGATACAGTTCCAACTTTACTCTTACCCAGTAAGCACCAAACACTCGGCCTTCGCTCGGCATAGGCGGTTGACCGGCGGTTCGGCTTGCCCCAGCCGGCCCACTTACGGCCCGCGTTATGTTACCCCGGTACCGTTTAGCCATGGCTGTTGCATGCATGTTCTAACCCCGGAAGAAATACGTGTGTCGGGCCGTACGCGGCCGATTCGGCAAAATTCGAGCTGTATGCGGGCCAGCTAGCTTGTGCTTACTGGGTAACAGCTGATCTATCAAAAGAGAAATCAAGTACTTTGTAAGAAATTAAAATAAAATTGGAAATACATTATAAATCATAGTTCTTTTTACAGTGTACAAAAAGTTCAAATAAAACCAGGGATCTTTAAAAACAGCCCATAACAAAAACTCAAACTTTAAAAAATCAAGTACTGCAGTGTAAGAAATTAAAACGAAGTTTTAAAAACAAAATTAATTAAAATTAAACTTTCTTTGGGCATTGTGCAGGAAATGTGCCGAGAGAAGGAAGCTAATGATCCATAACAGAAACTCAAACTGCAGCATGCTGCTGATAATGAAATGACCTGGGATTGAAACATTCCAAAAGCATTCAAAAATCAGCTTATACCATACCATACCATAATATAATATTTTCTGTGATTTTCAGTTTAGTTTGTTTTATTTGATGTTAGCTCCATCGTGGCCAATTTAGGGTTTTTATTTGGCAACTAAACCTAAATTTTAATTATTTGTAAATACAATTTTGTAATAAATAAATTTAGAAAAAATATGTTGTTTAAATTTTAACTTGACACTTTTCATTTCATTCTTCATATTCATATTTGCTTTAAAACTTTTTTAATATATTTTATTTGCTATTTAGAACATATTATTTACTTTAAAACAATATATTTTATTTGATTGAAACACCGTATAAAATAGTTTTCTTTTATTAATAATATTTTCTTAGTAGTTAATAGTGTGATCTTTAAATTATTTGACAATCTAAAAATTGAATAATTTTATAGAAATTTGGATGAATTTTATAAAAGGAATAATATTTAACCAAAATTCGTCCTACTGAAGAACATACCTTGTATTCTTGTACCATGTTTTTAGTGAGTTAATGAATATACTATAACATAGATGTATAAAACGTAGAAAAATTAACCATATACATACTATCATAAAAAAAATTACCAGACCTATAAAATATAGCAAAATTAACGCAAATTCGTTTTCACACAGCTTTTATGCATATTTCAACAGAAAACTGACTTAACTTACCATTAGATTTTTATAGAATGTAACACCAATTTCAGAGGCAACAGATTCATCTTCACTAAAAAAACAATATTTACCTATAAGTCTTGTATTAAGAAGTATTTTGTATTGTATTTCTTACTCTGAACTTTCGTAATCCTCAAACTCATTAATTTTAACAGTGGGCTCTGGACTTGGACAGCTCTCTCTAACATTAACCCCATCCAAATGCATGGAGGAATCTACACATTTTTTGTCTTCCTCTTGAGCAATTGCACTCTCTGTTTCTGTGATTTCTTGTATTCTGGGTTCATGGTTGACAAAGTTATTTTTATTAGGTGGCCGGAAGGACACCTCAAAACTAGTCATCAAGTCTATAGAGAATTTGGGCAGCCTTTTTTTAGGGGTGTTGTGAATGCCAGATGCAAAGTTTTCATGCTGTGTGCTTGTAATATAGTCATTCTGGATTTCTTGTCTTGGAGGGGGTTCCAATTGTTTTTGATGGTGATCTCTTTGCATCAAGGATGCCACTTGCTTTTGTAGCAGCAACATTTGTTCATTTTGTTGGGATATTATTTTTAATAGATCTTTAAGGGTGGGTTCATCAGGTTTATGTTCTTGTAATTCCCTTGAGTGATTATTGGTTTGTGTTTCACTATCATACTTTTCTCTGCATAGTTGTGGAGAGGCAGAACTCTCTATGTCACTTTGTCTTCTTGTTTCAGAAGATTGATGGTTCATAAAAATGTTCTGGTTTTCAGCATTTTCAATTCTTGAAGGCAACAAATATTCCTTACTTTGATTTTCAAACAAATTATTAAAAACTGGTTGATACCTAACTTCTTCTGGATTATTGATTTGATTAATAAGCTTATTACAACTTTTTTTACTCATATTTTCGCACATAGGCTTATTTTGACATGCTGGTGAATTAGAATTAAATCCTGGTTTTTTTGAATGTGGTGTATTCCCAGATTTTCTTACAGGTGTTTTAGTACCAAACAAACTATCATTGCTAAGTTTTTTAGGGGTGTTATTCTTATTTGTCATGTAACTATAAATATCAGTGATAATCTCACTTCCCTCATTATCTGTCTCTGCTGTTTTTTTCTGACATTCCATATATTCCCTGTAACTTTTAGGTGCAACTTTTTCCTCTACCTTTTCATTATTATAATTATTATCGAGTCTCTGCTTGTTATTAATATTTAATTTAGGCCTTGGTCTCATGGGTTCAACAATACTTAAATCTAAATGTCTATTAGGTACATTGGCCATATAAATTTGATCAAAAGTCTGGCCATTTACTGTTCCCATTAAGTTTTTTTCCCCAATGTTATTTACATTATTGTTACCATTTGGCAATGAGTTTAAAACATTACCAGGGTCATTTTTGGGCAAAAATGGTTCATAAGTCAATGAAGGTCTTTGCTGTAAGACTGGACTCTCAAACCGAACTTGTTTTTTAAACATATGAGAGGTATTTTGTGAACTGTTTGAAAAATTTTCCTTATTTGTGGGATTATAGTTGTAAGAAGGTTGTTGCATGTTTTTCATTTTCCAAGACATATAAGGCGACTTGGAATTCAAATTATGAGCTGCTTGTTTTGCTCCAAATAACAAAGATACCTCAGGAACCATAGATGCAGGATTAATCTAAAATTTTGGCTAGTAAGATAAAATAAACAAAAATTCTAAAATACACACCTTTTTGGCGGCAACAGGAGCCGGAGACCTTCTAGGGGCATCGTAGAAAGAGTCCATTTTCTTAAAAAATATGACTCTAAACTCATTAAAAAATTATAGGTTATCCACTTTTGTCATAAAAAAAACAACAAATAGGAACCCAACTTATAAGACAGAGATAGAATATAAAACCGTTATTTGGTGACAACCTTGCAATTTTTAAATAGTAGTTCAAATGGTTCAACAAGAACAAAATTGTTGATAAATGAAACTTTACTTGAAGGTAATTTTTATATTTAGATTTACCTAATTATCCAAATAGGATTATCTACAACGTTATTTTTAAGAAAAGTTATAATTTAAAAATGCTTTATGAATTTAGTTACTTTTTTTTGTTGTAGTGGTATTAGTGGTACAAAATTTCCGTGCTTGTTTGTTTTTGATGGCAGTCGACTAGGTATTTTAAATTAATTAAAAATTGTTGAAATAATAACCCTATTACAGAATGGATGATGCGGATAACAGTTCTTCCGACGAATCAATGGAACTTTTTCCCATAGATGTAAGCATAACTGCAAATGATTAGCTTTATAATATTATTTTTGCATTTTTCGTATTAAAGCACAATCGTGAAGAGCTAGTATTTAAATATGACGATCCCTTTGTTAGTACTGGAGTTATAAGAGCTGTTATAGAAGGTGACAAAGAAAAGTTACAGGATCTTTTAAAAGCAGGTAGATCTATCAACATTAATGATAATCATGGGAATACCCCAGTGCACATTGCAGTAATAAACAACAAGTAAATTCTAAATTTTAAACAGTGCCTTTTTATTAGCATAACTTTTTTAGTGTTACAATTTTAAAGTTCATATTAGAAGTAAAGTCACTGCTTGTAAACTCTAGAAACTTTAAAGGAGAGACTGCTCTATTTTTGGCAGTCAGATATCAATTTACTGATATAGTATTATTAATGTTACAAGCTGGGGCAAATGTAAACTTACCAAACAATGAAGAAGTTACTCCTTTACACAATGCATCAAACAACCCAGAAATTGCACATTTACTTATAAAAAATGGGGCAAAACTGGATGTTATTGATTATGGGGGTGATACACCTTTAAATGAGGCAGTCAGCAGTGGTTGCTTAGAAGTTGTTTGTATGTTGTTATATTACAATGCCGATGCAAATGCTTGCAGTGATCACAATCTCACACCATTTATGAAAGCTTTAATTCGAGAAGATATAGAAATTCAAAGAACATTATTTAACTATGTAGATGATTTTAATCAAAGAACACAAGAAGGAATGCCTATTTTGGCTTTGGCCCTTACTCATGAAACCCTTTTTGTGGAGGAAATTATAAATAGGGGGGCCAATGTTAATTACCACTTGGATTTCAAAACTCCATTTGATGCCTTTCAGCTTTGCCTTCAAGTTCCTGATGAAGATAAATTTAGATTGATTTGGAATAAATTTGTTTACCTTGATTATGATAAAGAGAGTATATTAAGCAAGCTGTGTAAAGCTGATTTGTCAAGTAATAATTTTACAGAATATTTAGACATTATTTTGAGTAGCTGTAATTTAATGACTGCCATATATGCACCAGAAAAGGATGACGATATAAAATTACTTATAACTACAATGGTAAGACTCATACTGCCAGTGGATTACATTAATAACGTTATTTACATTTTGTGGTCTTATGGAAAAAATGTTACACCTGAAGACCTGGACTCTATGTTCTATTATTTTGGGTATTGTGAATTATTTAAAATTGGGCTCCACATGGACATAAAAAATATTGGATTTGATGAAAATTTTAATTTTTTGCACCTTCTATATGATCCACAATTAAGCTTTAAATCTTTTATAATAATACTGAACAGATACATTGGTTTGTTTGACTTAAATGTTATGTTTATAAACAGAATGTCCAAATTTATGAGTATTCCTCAGTTAACTAATATTCCAAATTATAATCATGTTGTACCTTGTTTAAAAGATATTGCTAGAAATGTGGCCAGAGACTACATTATAGAAACCTATAATCTACAAACTTCCAGACAATATATGACACATGTAAATCACATGGAAACATCACAAGTTTACAAAAAACTTTTATCTTATGAGACCCAGCTATATTAAATGTTATATGAATAGAAATTAAATTATTATGTTAAAGAGTTTATGATGTTACTGTTTTTTAAATCTTAAATAAAATATTTTTTGCATTTTGGTATTTTTAATACAACTTAACCAGTTGAAATGAAAGTATGACTTAAGATTTCCTAGTAATAAATACACAAGAGTTTTAGGTAAAAATTTAATGTTACATTTGGCAGTAATAAAATTAAATTTACATAATCATGAATTCATGATGCAGTGTAATATTATTGAGTATAATTTTTTAGATCACAGTTATCACTGGCTGTTGCATGTGCCCGCATCATATGGTTACGTAAAGATCCAGGCAAACTAAATTTTCCATTGCAAATGAGACATTCATAAGGTTTAACACCATTGTGAATGTTCATATGATTTTTCAATTGGGTTGAATCGCCATAAGCTTTTGGACAAATAGTACAACAATGTCGTTTTTCGCCTAAAAAAATACATTAAATTCAATACATTTGCTTTTAAGTAATTTTCCGTTTAAAAGAAAACTCTTATACAGGGTCTCCCAGGTTTTAGTAGCAGAACTTCAACAGTGGATGTAGAAAATTGTTTGAATTAAAATGTACTTTAAGTTTTTTTGATTTTGTTTAATATTTTCTGAAATATTCAGTTACACTAAACTACATCCACTTAGTAGAATTCCTTCAATTCTTTATTTTTATCATACGGTATGATTCATACCTGTATGAGATCTAAGGTGAGCTCTGTATTGTCCGCTTAACTTGTAACTTTTATCGCAACCCATGTAAGTACATTTGTACGGTCTATTCTTGTCATGTGTCCTCAAGTGAGTGGTCAAGTCTTGAGAAGTTCTTGATGCCTTGCCGCAAATGAAGCAAACGAATTTTCTTTCAGCGCTGTGACGCATTTGATGATCAGTCAGACCGGATTTGTGGGCAAAGGACTAAAAGAACAAATTTTAAGGTGATGCCATTAAATTTTGCAAAAACCAAAGTTTTCCTGTTTTGAGTATTTACCAAAAACGGCGCAAAGGCATTTAAAATATTATTATTATAATAACTCAAAACCTTTTTTGGACAATCCTGTTATAGTATATAGGTATACTTTTATACTTTTTGATAGTATACCGCAATATGTTGCGGCCGAAAAAAACTAATCGACCGATGTAAATAATATTTATGGTTTTCACCAGCGTTGGATCAATAATACCCTGTGAACCAGAAAATGCTATCCCTTTTGTAAATGACCGATTAATTCCTTATAGAAACCAATTGAAGTATTAGTTGGTATCAATAGGTCTGAATTGGACTGGGAGCGATATAAAACAGAAATTGGTTTTTACTGGTATTCTCCATGATGAAAAAGCCCGATTAGGATTCTACTGTTTTTTAGTAGTTTCGATTGGTTAAAGCTACCAATAGGTAATTTCCAATTGAATTCAATTTGGCATTCCCAGTGTAAGATTCTAGAAAGGAATCTACTAATTTGTTATTCCCAATACTTTAAAATATGGAAAAGTTTAATTAGGATTCTACTGTTTTTTAGTGGTTTCGATTGGTTAAAGCTACCCATAGGTAATTTCCAATTGAATTCAATTGGGCATTCCCAGTGTGAGATTCTAAAAAGGAATCTGCTAATTGATTATTCCCAATACATTAAAATATCGCAAGAGGGCTCTCGTGTAGCTGCGTAAAACCAACGTACGCCGTCCTTGTTCAAATGGTTGAGACGCCATCATAAAGAAGAAACAAACAAGTCTTTAGACGCTATTTAATGTCGTATTTTTATTAGTCGGTTTCTTTTATAATCTATGGGTTTCTGTGCTTAGTGGTAGTTGTGTACTTAAAGTGGTGTGTACCTGCTTATACCTTAAAAAAATGTTTATATGTACTATAAAGCATCATGCTTTAAGCATGTTTAACAGTGGTTAAAAAGATATTCTAAATTCAGTATTTATTTTTACCTTTGAACAAGCACTGCATAAATAAGGCTTTTCCTGTGTATGCCTTCTATTATGAGATTTAAGTTGTGTGGCTGTACTACAGGCATGTCCACATGTAACACATACAAAAGGTTTTTGACCTAAATGTATTAATTTGTGTGACTTTAAGGTGTATAAATGAATAAAACTTTTGCCACAAATTTCACACTTGTGCTGTTTGTCTCCTAAAAAGTAATTGAATTATTTACATAAAATTGTTAAAGAGTAAAACACCTGTATGAATTTTTTCATGTTTTTTAAAACTTCTTGGATCCGTAAAACTCTTATTGCAAATTTCGCAAATATAAGGCCTCATCCCTGTATGATTCCTAAGATGTACTTTAAAGTCATACTGGGAGTTATATTTTTTTCCACAATCATCACAAGTGAAATTTTTGTAAACAATTCCATGATCCTTAAGGTGATTTATGAGAGTTGCTTTAGTTGGAAACTTCTTTTTACATTCTGAACATTCCTGATCTGGTTTCTTTTTTACATATTTACTTGATTTTTTCTTATTCTCATTATGTTCCTCCAAATCTTTTTTTAGAGAATTTTGTTCTTTACGTTTAAATTCATCACATTTATTGATGTTTTTCTCACTTGTTTCATACAATTTTTTTCTTAAATTTTGTTTTTTCTCTTTCAGTTTTTCACAAAATTTATCATCAATTTCATCTTCTAAAAGAATGTAATAATACACATGACATAATATTATTTTTGAAATTTGTTACCATAGTCTTCATCATCATCACAATTATCAGCTTCTTTATTGTCAGAGTTTGACTACAAATATATAGGTATGTAATAAGATAATTTCTATAATTATAATGGAGTGCACCTAACATGTTAGGTGTTATAACAGAGTGCACATAACATATTAGGTAAATAAGTAACATAATGTTAACAGAAGAGCAAACAAAAATATTTTTTTTACAAGACACAGGATTACCATTATACATTTTTTTAAGTGAAACTTCTTTAGCTAGGTGTAAGTGAGAAAAATTAAAGCGTTTAATATGTCACGGAAAATATGAAGTATCAGGAAAGCATGAAGTCGCAGAGGCAACAAAAATAAACATCAAAGATAGGTTTTAAAATACGGTTTTAGGTATCAGGAGAGCATGAAGTCGCAAAGGTTACGTCATTTATTGAAAAGGCAGTGCATGCGAGGAAGATGGAAATAAATCAATCCAATTTAGCGTCGCCGTAAAATGGAATGCCTATTTTTTCACAATTTCTTTGACATGGGTATTAAACAGTGGAGGCTCGTATACGAGCTTATATATAAATCTAAGGTATTGCCAGAATGTTGGCAGATGGTGCAAAAGCAAAAGTATCTTTGCAACCACACAACCAATTATTTTTATCATAAATAGCATGGAGGCTACACAAGGAGTCCGAACTTCATATATACAAAAATCTTCCTAAAATAAGAGGGCGCTGGTGTTCTGTTGATTGTTTAATTTGTACCGAAACGCTACCAAAAGAGCAGACGTCAGCGCCGCTGGTGGTGAATAAACCTAATTTGTGCAATTTAGTGGGCAGGTTTTGTCAATTTTCCCTATTAGGTTCGGACTCCATGTGTAGGTTCCATGATAAATTTACGAAAGCCGCGATTATGGTCCACTTTGTTTTCAATTTTTAAATCGGGTATTATAATAGGTCTAATTCTTTGATTTGCAGTTTTTTTCGCTTGCGAATAACTACCAAGAGTTTTTTAAGATGCTAATTTTAATCATGTCACACACTAAAAGCTTATAATTAAAAAATTGCCATCTAATTACGCAATGTAATAACCGAGTAAACGTAATGAAAATCAAACGATCGACTGAGCATCTTTTCTTTGATTTACCATAGTGATAGTATACATAATGTATGTAATATATCCCAGAGAGCCATGCTTTGGGAAAGAAATTAGTCAACTTTTTCCCAACCAAGTTTGGACTACGATATTTTACATTTATTGGGGTTTATTTGGACATATTAATTGTATTTTCATAAAGTTTGACCAAAAATTGACATGTTTTATGCCAAATTATTTTCCAATGCGATAGCACAAAAACTACACAAATATACAGTCCTAGATAGAGTTATTATTGGCCAACGTCGTTTGTAATGAAGTTTGGTCGAAAATTGGCAAAGCGTTTGTAATTCAGATTGATCGAAACTTGGCAAATAATTGATCAGCATGGAAAAAGAATCGCAATGGCGAGTTAGGATATGTCGTTAATATTTCAAGACCTTCTCTACAAAAAGGCGTCAAAAAGTGCTTGTGTGATAGTTATTACAAAAAAATATAATCATCTGTGCACTAACTAAACGTGTTAAGTTTTACGCCGTGACTAGGTGCACGTTAGAGTGCCCGCAATTTATTTTTTACGGGCACGCTAGTGACGTAATAGATAAAAAACGTCATCACTGCCGTGCCGCTTAATTTAAAATTGGCGGCACAACAATAATATAATAATAAATTGTACCTGTATTATACAGGCTGTATACATGTTAAGGGCACGTTACGCAATACGTTACGTAATAAAACCAAACCAACCCAAACTCAACAACACAACCCAACCGACCCCGCCCCATTGGCCCCCCCCCCGCCCCATTGAGCAAAAAACCCAACTTAAATGGGCAAATTTATGTTACGATAAAAATAAAACACTTTTTAACAAAGGAACAACAAATTTATGAAATAAAAAATTAAAAAAAATTCGACAACTTCTGAGTTTCGAACCCGGGACCTCTCGCATGCAAAGCAAACGCCCTACCATCTAAGCTATCTAGCTTGAAAACAAATATAATATGTTCGGGGAACAAAACCGGATTATTATTATGACGTCACTAGCGTGCCCGTAAAAAATAAATTGCGGGCACTCTAACGTGCACCTAGTCACTTTGTAAGTTTTAAACAGCTTTAAATTTTGAGTAAGTAATTAAGGTTATGTTTTCAAAGTTTTTAATAAAACATTCAATTATTATACAATTTCTTACTTCTCGAAGATTTTATTCCCTTATTAATTTTAAAGTAATATAAATTTACATTGGTAGTTCTATATTATGTATTTATTTTTTGTTACAGATTTTCATCTTGAAGTTGCAGTGAAGAAAAATAACTGCCTTTTTCTAGGTAAATTGTGTTTATGGGTACTATAGTACCCATAAACACAATTTACCTATTTGCCTATAGGCTTTTACTACAAGCAGGACAATTTAAAAATAAATTTTCTACCTATATGTCACGAAGGAAAAAGAGGATTTATTGGGTTTTAAGATCTATCGTGCTAGAAGTGAGCAAGGTAATTGCAATTTTTTTATTGAATTTAAAAATATATTTCTTTTTTATTTTTAAAGTTCTTCATAACATAAAGTTACCAATCACAAACTATTTTACAATAAGTTCTTAATGTTTAATAAAGCAAAATTCTTGATAGCCTGATCGTAATTCTATTTGTATCATAATATTATAACAAGTATAAAGGTGGATTTAGCCAGCATTTAAATGTAATAAATGTAATGTAAAAAAACGTAACATAGGTAATTTAATTTAAAAAATTGTGTAACACAATTTGTGTTGACCCGTCAAACAAGAAAAACTCAACCAAGAATACATCTGCACTTAAAGAAATCTATAGATAGGTATACAGGGTGTCCTGAAATTAGGGGGCCAAACTTAAACAGTGTATTCTTCATAGAAAAATAACACTTTTTTGTAAACATGTATCAAAAAATGCCCCCTAACGGAGCTATGGCCCTCTGAATAGGAGCCTAAGGGGATAATTTTTTTAAATTTATTCGTAGAGGGTTGAACATGAAGAAATGAATTTTCCGTACCTACTTTGGTAATTTTGACATGTATATACATATATGTTTTATATTTTAATATTATTTCCTAGACAATTTTGTTACTTAAAGTATTTTTTAGAGAGTTTACATGAACATGATAAATTTCCTCCTCCAGGGGCTTTAGAATTCCAGAGGTCCTTTGACGTGGCCTTAAACAACGCGAAGCAACGGGTCCGAAATTAAAAAAAGCCTTATTGCAAAAAAACAATTAAATCACTGCTTGGGATTCAACATAAAAAAACAATATTTTTTCCAATTTTGATTATTTTAAATATTTTTTATTTATACATTTGTTTTTTTTTTAATTTTATTTTTGACCACTGTTCCAGTATTGGAACATACTGTTTTATTTTTTTATTATAATTAAAAAGTATAAATACAAATTTTTTTATTTGTTTTATAAAAAGCGTTTTATTTACCCAATTTTCAAATAGTCTCCAAAAAATTAATAGATAGATTAATGGATTTTAATATAAATGAGAAAAAGAGTAATATTCTTTCAAATATAATAATAATATTTGTTAATACTTTGGATTTGTCCAAATATTTACCAATATTTGGTCAATTTTTCAAAAGCCTAATTGCCCAAATAAACATTAAAAATTTGTCATCGTTTTTCCATGCCCAAACATTCCCAAAATTAAACCAACGGTAACCTACCTAATTTATCCAAACTGCTTTGGCATATTATTGGGCACAATTTGGTCATTTATAAATGACCAAATTGTGCCCAATAATAATAATATATTGTTGGCCATCGTGATTGCACAAATACCTTAGGAATATACAGTCCTACATAGTACATTTATTGGCAAAACTTTTCCAAAGGTAATGAGCAATTCTTGGCCATGTTTTAACCTGATATGGCTCTCTGGGTATATTACCCGGTCAACATTTAACGTAACACAGTATTGCCGTTATGTAACATAGGAGTAACATTACAATGTAACGATGTTACTAAACTGCAACGCAACAGTTACCTACCTAAAATAATGGTAACATTGTTACCGTTCCAAGTTAACAAATATGCAATATAACAATAACATAATTTCCAATATGCAACATAACAGTAATGTAACATTGCAATACTATTGTAATAAGTTTGTTACGTAACAGTTACATTTATGTTACGTAACAAACTTATACTTATACACATCATTTACATCTCGCTCGTGTTACCACCTCGATTAGGTATATAAACGAAGTTTTTGTCATTGGACCTTAAACAATATGCCTGATTATGGGAAAGTCAGAATACGATATTATGTATCATTTGATACGCTTTAGCGTTCAACTGACGGGACTTTCTCATGTCGAGCATAATAACGTTGCAACGTAACAATGTTACATAACCGTAAAGGCCATGTTATGTAACATAGATTGCGAAAATGTAACGGCAACGTAACATTGTTACCTATTTGCAGCCATTATGTTATGTAACTGTAATGTTACATATTACGATTGTTGAATAACATTTTGGTTAATGTTACGTTACAGTTATGTTTCACTTTCATAACGGCAATGTAACATTGTAGTCCATTAAAAAGATACATAACAACAACTTAACAATTATAATGCATTTATGTAACGACAACGTAACATGGTTATGTAACAATGTTACTTAAAAAAGCGGGAAATAGGAACCTATTTGCAACCGTCAGGTTATGTAACTGTAACGTTACACATCACAATCGTTACATAACATTTTGGTTAATGTTACTTTACAGTTATGTTTCATTTTCATAACGGCAATGTAACAATGTTACTTCTATGATTAGGAAATAGGAACCTATTTGCAACCATCAGGTTATGTAACTGTAATGGTACACATCACAATCGTTACATAACATTTTGGTTAATGTTACGTTACAATGTTGACCGGGTATATAGTATAAATTTATATTTATACAATTTATACAATTTTAAAGTACAATAATTATGGGGGAAGCACTGAATTCTAGGGGGAAATCAAGCTCCATCTGGATAATTTGAGGAGGGAAAGTGCTTTGACAATCTGGCAACACTGATTAAGATGTTTTGAAGATTAAAAATATAAATATATAACATTAAGTTGGTAACATCGCTCCGTGGCCTCACGAGCCGCAACTGGTATCAAATAAAAGGGTTTGACAAGAAAACGATACTTATGATACCTTTAATATACCTTTAAAATATTTAAAAATTCTTAAAACTGGACACACACAATTTTTTTTCTATGACCACTATGTAAAAGTCACGTTTCGTAATGGTATCATTGGTTTTTATTGGCAAGCCAAAACTCGAATGTAAAGTGACATTTCTGTGTGAAAAGTGACAGGTCTGTGTGAAAAGTGACAGGTCTGTGTGAAAAGTGACAGGCCTGTGTGAAAAGAAATTGACAGCATTGTAATTTTAACAGCTGTCAAAGACGGTTTTAGGTTATTTTGTTTTGTATTTAAAAATAACAAATATAAAAGGGTTGTAGAAAAAACATTGTATTTCACTTGTGAGATAAGCTTTCTTCAAGCTTGTGTTAATGCACACTTGACCTAATGGCCTCGTGAGCAACTTAAACACTCGCATAAAAAAGTCGGTTTTCAACACTTGTAAAACAAATAACTATTATCTACTCCTACATTGACAAGCTGTGACTTTATTAACTATTGGTATACTTGTTTGACATTAAATTAATCCGCTTTGCGCCGGCAGCAGTAGCAAACAGTCTAAACCCAACCCGTGCACTCGCGTTAGTTTTTATAGAACAGTTAATATTTTGTGTTTGCGTTTTAAAAAAATATTTTGGCATAAGTGCTCACAAAATCTTTGTTTTAATATTAAACAAGATTGACTCCTATGAGGGGGAGGTTGCTAGACTATTTAGGAACACAATTGGTTATGGAAAATATGAAAATCATATACCACGAGCAATAAAGCAGAGTGCTCTTCACCTATCAGGAGTTGAATATTTAAAACCTATACCTCCGCAAAACAAAAGAGGTCGCTGCAAATATTGCAAAAATCGCAAAACCAAATATTATTGTAAAGTTGTCATAACTGGCTATGTTTAGAATCTTATTGTCAAGATTGTAGTGAAAATAATTGGTAGTTTTCTGGATAAGGTTTATAATATTATGGTCATATATTTTCTTATACAATATTTTTTTATGTAAGTACCTAGTTGGTTTAAAAAACTATTTTTCATTAATTTAATTTAAAAATTTTTCTGGATAATATTATGGTCATATATTTTCTTATACAATATTTTTTTATGTAAGTAGTTTAAGTAGTTTAAAAAACTATTTTTCATTAATTTAATTAAAAAAAAAAATTTTTTGTATGTTCACAATATTTAGATGTTACCATTTACTTGGAATAATATTAATATTTAAAAATAATATTATATTTTTTTCTATAAAAAGACAAAGAAATATCTAAAATTTAAGAAAACCTAAAGGGGGGAAGATGAAAAATATGTAAGTCGGTACCTAATACAAATATTTTTTTAGTAGGTCCAATAGACCCAATCCGTCTATTGGTGTAATATTTGTTCACCTGTGCACTGGAAGGTTAAAAGTTGACAAATGTTTAACAAATAAACTTGGCTTTAAATTCTTTTTTGTGTTTGTCGTAGAAAAAGTATAGTATGCAACTTGTTTTACAAACTTCTCTAAACACTCGTTTTTATTAAACACTCGCTTGCAAGCTTCAATTGTGCCTAATAAAACTCGTAAATAAACAGGCATTTATAATGATAGATACGTATCTATCATTATAAACGCCATAATATACTATTATAGAATAGTTTTTTAAACAACTTAGTTTTATACAAAAGTTTGATTTTGCAATGCAATAAATTTAAATTGTAAAAGTTAACACCTTCAGAAATCAATCAAGTTCAGAGATTTTGTAGTTCAACTTATATCATTAAAACCCTGTATTAAAATTTGTAATTTGCCAATAACTCACCAATTTTACTTACCAATATATCATCCTCCACATCTTTTTCAAAGTTTGGTTCTTTGTTTTCATAATTTTCTTCATTTTTTATTTCTATTTGAGTATTCTTACGGTACTCCAAAAATTGTTTTAATGTCTTATCCGAAGATTGTACAGTACTTTTAAACTTATTTACAAGATGAAGTTGCTGAACACAAGTGTAACAAATGTATATTGGCAAACCATCTTCTTTAGCAACCTAAATTTTATAAACTTTATAAAACGACTTAAATACCAAGGCATAAGTAACTTACATCCACAGAAGTGCAGTCCATTAGAAGTTTATCTATTTCATCGTAGAATATTATTTGATTAACTTCTTCTTGTAAAGGTAAAAGACAAGCTCTGCAAATAAACCCTTTTGATAAATCTGGAATACTATTTATATTTCTGATTATTTCGTTTTTATCCATACTAAAATAACGAAACACTGTCAATAAACATAACCACAATTATTTTATGAATTATGATTTGTGTAAACGCAACTTAATTTCCCAGCATCCACTCCAATTCGCCCTTGAGAAAGATCCATAACTGCAGTGGATTCGCGCAGGCGCGCATACTACCATTCCTAGAAACATCGACCTGCTTTGTTTACCTGTGTTGTCAAACACCCACCATTGCCTTTTATAAGTTTCTTGTTGTAGAAGAAGAGTTTTTAAGGCTATTAAAACTGTCTGGTGAGTGATGGATGATCCAGGCAGAATGATGGGCCATACCGGAGGCGGTCTGATGCCCCCTCAGCCGTACGGTATGAATCCTCAGGGCGATGCTCCTTCGGGGGGCGAAAACGAGCCCCGCAAGCAGGATATTGGAGAAATTCTCCAACAAATCATGAATATCACCGACCAGAGTTTGGACGAGGCCCAGGCAAGAAAACACACACTGAACTGCCATCGAATGAAGCCAGCATTGTTTTCCGTCTTGTGTGAAATTAAGGAAAAGACCGTGTTGTCCCTTAGAAATACCCAAGAGGAGGAGCCCCCAGATCCCCAACTGATGAGACTGGATAACATGTTGATTGCTGAAGGAGTTGCAGGACCTGAAAAGGGGGGTGGTGCTGGGGCTGCTGCATCTGGTTCGGCTGCTGCTCAAGCAGGTAAGTGATTTCTATTATCTTTATTTGCCCGTGTTATGAAATTAACTTTTTTAATCATATTGCATTTATGTAACCTACATTTTGTTATATGTTAGAATTGATATTTGCTCTTTAATTACTACTAACTCAAAAACAGTAACATTTAACTTATTGAAATTTATTGTTATTACCTACTACTACTTGCAATATGAATATTGAAATGTATTTTTTAGTTTGTTTATTAATGAATGTATGCATGTTTTAATGAACTTTTCATTTACAATTATAAGTGTTAACACTCATAAACAATGATGCGTGTTTTATAAATCATTGCTTTTAGGTATTTTATCTTAACAATAATATAAATAATATCTAGACTAAAGAAAAAAATTGAAGCACCATTTTTTAAATGTAATGGGATATTATTTTCTCTTATAGGTTGTCACACATTTAGGGGGGTTTACAATTTGTGACAAAGTGTTAAAAAATTGAAGCACCATTTTTAAATGTAATGGGATATTATTTTCTCTTATAGGTTGTCACACAAAATTAACTGTCAACAGTGGAAGGTTTTAGACACAGAACATAGAGGCAGGATTACATATCCACAAGCCTTTTATAGCACAATTTTGGCCCTCTTCTTTTTATTATGTCTATTTTATTTTAAAATAAATTTGATACCCAGAGGTTGTGGGTTTAAATCCCACATTGTTATGATTGTTTATTTGTGTTTGTCCCATTGTGAAGTGCTTTAGAGGGAACTTTGAGCCCGCGGTCCGTTCGTACGCCTAAACAGCACAAGCCATTCAGTTGGCTTCTGGGTCTTTTTCGGAAGTAAGGGTGGAACTAAAAGAGCCCTTTTTGTGTGACCAAACATTTAAATAAGTTAAAATATTAAACAAAACTAGCAAAACACTCTTGCAGGTGGTTATTGCGCAGCGATCGCTCCATCTAAACTGGGTAGAAAACCTGTCAATGTGGCAATTTGAAGTTTTGTTTGATCCACCTAAACAGGGCAATAAATGAATTAAATAGTATATTCTGTAACAAGTTTGGAATACAGCATATTCCGCTCGAGTGAAGAGTTTGTCACACGAGCCGAAGGCGAGTTTGACGGTTTCACGAGAGCGGAATATGCAATTCCAAACGTGTTTCAGACTATACTTTTTCTACGTTTCCAAAAAATTCCATAGAAAAATATTTTAATTGGAAGAAAGTGAGGTTGGATCGGTCTAAAATTTGTTAGATATTAAAATCAGAGATGTCGCCACGAGTGTTTATTCTGTAATCCGATAATAGAATATTTCATTCTGTAACACTTTACGGAATATATGTCATTCCATAGACAAAAGTGATATTAGAACAGTCAAATTCCGTAATAGGAGTAGAAAAATATTGTTTTTATATTTTTCATCAGATTCTGTCAACTTGACACCTGTCATCTGTTAACTTGATACCTGTCACTTGTCATGTCACCTGTTATTTGTCACCTGTCCACTTGAGATATGCCAATGTGTTTCTGGATATTTTGTTGGATAAAAAAATCGACTTTAATTCAAAGATCCACGATCGATTTTTAATAATAATATTGTTGATAAACTTTTTTATATGCCTTAAAAAATTAAACGGACATTTGGCCGTTTCGTTATAATTCCACGAAAATTCACTTTTTGTATGTTTAACTGCATTATTTCACACTTTCTATTCCTGTTTTTTGTTTTCCCAATTTCTTTTCCATTCCATTTTTATTCGTTCTCGAGAAGAGATCTCTTTTCAAACGATCCCAATTAAAAAAACCGAAATTTGAAAAAAAAATGAAAAAAATGGACTTTGGCTTTTGTCGCGAACGCAATATTTGGACGAGGGGCGGGTCTCGAGGAAGGAATAAATAAAAAATTGACGTGTGTGAGCGATTTTTCTTTTATTACGGAACACCTGAGGAACCAGGTAGAAACTTCCCATTGGCCCGGTTTTCCATCGTGCGATACAAACGGTTGAAAAAGAACGAAGTCTGTGGGGGCCTTAATTTTTCTATACAAATTTTTTCTTATGTCAATTTTCTCATGAACTATACAGACATGATAGACTCTTTTATATACTGTGTGTTCTATCTAAAACGTACCACCTCAAATAATTCTGCTGTTTAAATTATTAAAAAAGCTAAGCCACGTGGATTTTAGTTTAATATGTCGCAACTATAAGGAATCAAATTTTAGATAGGGAAAGGGGGTCATGTCGTATATCAATTGAAAGCTCTTTCTCTATCCCACCCTACGCATTTTTTTTCCAAAATTTCTGTTAACTGTATTTTGCGACTTGGTAATAAATATTTTACTGTTACTTCTTCACGGCGATCGTTTTTTGCTTATTGTTGATAACAAAGTTTTTATGTGAACGCTAATGTTTAAACGTTCGATGCAGTGTAAATCAGTCAAGTTACTATTCTTACCTTGCTAAATTGTTTAAATAATTACGGTGTACACATTACAAGAACGTGTTGAGTTCGTAGGCTTCTATTACCAAAATCAAAATTGCGCTCGATGTGCTGCAAGGGTGTTAAAAAAAACACCCGATCGCAATGTTGGCCACAAATACATCAAAGAATTATTCTCAAAATTTGTTGAAACGGATTTACTTTCGATTAAAAAAAGGCTTTCAGAGGACTTGACGCAGTCGATACGGCAAATATCTGCAGCTTCCGGCGTGAGCAGCACTAACGTGTTTAGAATTTTGCACAAACACAAGTTTCATACTTACAAAATTCAGCTGGTACACGAATTAAATAATGACGATTTTGACAGAAGAAAGGATTCTGCGAAATCATAAGCGTCTTATTAAAAATAAAAATTTGTTTTACAACATCGGCATAACTGCAGGTTTTAGAGTGGTACAAATCCTCATGTATAACGGGAAGTTCATATTCAAAATCCGCAGAAGTTGAATGTTTGGACAGGAATCTTGGGGAACCATTTAATTGGGCCTCTGTTTATTTAAAGTAAGTTGAACGGCGAAATGTATCTAAACATGTTGCAAAATAAAATTGATGCCTTAATAACCCAACTTAACTCCAGCGATGTTCCGTAATGTGAGGGAGGGTTTTAAATCCAGTCTTAATGCAAGAGAACGGGGGACATTTTTAACATTTGACCTAAAAATATTAAATTTGTTATTAACAAAAACATTTTTATACCTATGGTTAGATAGAGAATAAAAAGAGATTGATATACGACATGAACCCCTTTCCCTATCTAAAATTTAATAGTCCTTACAGTTGCGGCATATTGGTTGATGTGCGCAAGCGCAAACTAATTTTAAAAAGTCTCCCCTTTCGAACTAAAATAGACGTGTATTGGCTTTTGCCAATAATTTAAACAGCAGCTGAGTTATTTGAGGTGGTTCGTTTTAGATGGAACACACTGTAAAATCTTTGTACATAATTTCTTTTCTTCTCTATACAGGGTGTTTCCTAAGTACGGTCACATTGCAGTTCCTTTCGATATTTTGTTGATGTTTTAAACAATTACCATTTGATTTCTTATTCACATTTTTTTTAATTACAATTTTACCAAAACAACAACAGATTTAGATCTGTTTAAAATACTTAAGTGTGGTTCTTATCGGTACTGATGTCAATGATTTTAACGGGCCGACTATACTTCGTTCGTCGATAGCTGTTGCTGACACAACGAAACCAGTGACCAGTTAATTTTCATGAATTTTTGTATTAAAAAAATTAGCACTAATGCAAAATTGACAGCCAAACAAGTCGGATATGTATTTTTGACATATTTGTTTACAGCCAAAACCTGTAAAAAAAATATATTTTTTATATTCTGATATTAACACTTTTTGTTCGAACAATTCGAAACTTTTTAAAAAGGGGGAAAGCGCCGGATGGGAAACACGGGAATTTGACATTTACCAGGAATAACTTATGTAAAGCGCTCCAAAGTCCAAAAATTAAATTTTACAGTAGAGGCGTTTGTGTAGGAACGCTTGACTTTGAAATTTTGTCAATTTTTGAGATAAACAAATCATTATTTTACTTTTCGAAAGATCGTACTTAAAACAATCATAATATCGAATATAATTTTCGTTTTCTTGGAGCTTGTCACATATTAAAGAATTATAAAAATTGTGGTGCTTTAATTTTGTTCGTTAGTTTAATCATTGAGTTTGCAGATTTATTGTTAAGAAAAAGTCTGCATTAAAAATTAAGTATGTGAAAAAATTAAAAGATATATTAACTGCAATGTTTTATACATTAATAGAGCTCCTTTTTGTATTATTTTATATAAATTGTATTAAAAAGTAAGTAAACAAAAAGCTGCTTTATTTCTTAGCAAAAATAGCTTAAATTGTTTATGTAGCACAAACTAAATACATTTACATAGAGCATTAAAAAAAAGTTAATTTTATTTTAATATTCACAACAATCCCAGTTGGTTACTTAATGTTTGCTAATTAGAACAGTTCGCTAATACATTCATAACTACATGCCTAACTTGGACTGACTTGACGACATTGTGAATATACACTGGCAACCTTAGTATAAGCCCTTATTGTTGTACGATACTTAACCTGATTTCAATTAGACCTCTTCCCAGGTCAGCCGGATAACGCGATCGAGCATTCGGATTACAGGGCCAAACTGGCCCAAATCCGACAAATTTACCACCAAGAGCTCGAGAAGTACGAACAAGCTTGTAACGAGTTCACTACTCATGTAATGAATCTCCTGCGAGAACAGTCTCGAACTAGGCCTATTACGCCTAAAGAAATTGAACGGATGGTGCAAATCATCCACAAAAAATTCAGCTCAATTCAGATGCAACTCAAACAATCCACCTGCGAAGCTGTCATGATTTTAAGGTCTAGATTTTTGGATGCCAGAAGGAAACGCAGGAATTTCAGTAAACAGGCGTCCGAAATTCTGAATGAATATTTTTATTCGCACCTAAGCAATCCGTATCCCAGTGAAGAAGCGAAGGAGGAGTTGGCTAGAAAGTGTGGCATCACTGTCAGCCAGGTGTCCAATTGGTTTGGAAACAAACGTATTAGGTAAGAGCACTATTTTTATTTTATCTGCAGTAGTGTTGTAAAATTTGCGGAAATATAATGTAATACTAGAAATATCGGAAATAATCAAAAATATTGGAAATGTGACTGACTATTTTTGCTCTAACTCTTTGTGTAGCAACGGTTCTATGTTGGGATCACACAAAAATAAAATACTTACACAAAAAACATTTTATTTTCCCAGTGGTTCCGCACTGATTTAAAAACCAACGTCAACTAAATTACAATAAAATAAATTAAATTAAAATTGAGGCGCATTTTACAAAAACAGCCATAGTGCAAATTGTTATTTAATATTAGTATGTTAAGGTAGTAATCGTTAATTTGGCAAGATAATGTACAGTAGAAACCGTCAATATATGAACGTGACTCATCGGGTGCCGAACATATCTCAGACATGCTAGCAGTAATGTTTTACTTGTCTTGTACATTCGATGCAGCGGTAAATGTACTCACACGTAGGTTTTTAAGCATCCGGTCTAAAATGCGCCATCTGTGATGTAAAACTGCCTAGGTGTTGGACAAAGATGGACATATGACGCTTGTGTCCTAGCTTGTTACTTAATTTTATTGGAAGTCAGTAGAGTTCGTGTTTTAGGAATTTATTTTATTTTATTACATAGTAAGGCAACCAACTTTACCGTCGGCCATTTGTTTTTATATGTCATATGATCTTTGTTTTTGCATATCTTGTTTCTACTGTGTGTTTACGGATTAATAATCGTTTTAAACGTTGTAGTGGCAGTGGTTTATATTATGTAACACAGGTAGATGTCGTATAAAAATCCTTACCTAGAAATTCTAGGCTAGAATACAAAAATATTTTTATTATACATATAAATTTTGTACTAGTATTAGTTTAATACATTCTGAAGAAGCTATAGCAGTATACTGTGTAGCGAAACAATTGTCAATATTTAATAAATTTCGTGAAACTAACGCAAGTTGTTTTTATATCCACACAATTTAAATATCTTTCACTTTGTACCTGACCTGCGTAAACATTTTTGTTTTTTGTCACCAATTCTGAAATATTTGCGTTTACAGTTAAAAGAATAGTATATTCTGTAACAAGTTTGACGGTTTCACGAGAGGGGAATATGCAATTCCAAACGTGTTTCAGACTATACTAAGAATTTAATTGGAAGAAAGTGAGGTTGGGTCGGTCTAAAAATTTGTTATTAAAATCAGAGATGTCGCCACAAGTGTACGTTCTGTAATCAGGTGATAGAATATTTCATTAAAGTTAAAAGAAAAGTTTATTTATTAATTAGTTTCTAAGAAAATTACAGTTTATTTAATTATCGTAGATGTTAATTATGTTAGATGTTAATTATTTAACTTTAAAAGCAAATATATCATAAGTATAGCAACCAACATTACACTCAAATTTTTTTACAAACGAGACTGCACTGGACCGTGACCTTCGATAGATTGCTTCGTACGAATGTGTCGGATGAGTCACGTTCATATATTGACGGTTTCTACTGTACTATGCTCCTCACCTCAAAGTCCCACCACGCGACTACGTACGGAACGCAGACTTTTGAAAATTTGGCATTTAAGGCTTTTCAGGTTATGTATCTGTCAAAGTATAGTCAACGAAAGAAATAATATTTATACTTTTATCGTTTATGTTTAAGCTTTTAAAAATTATAAATCCTTATAGAATCACAATAACAATGGTTGGTTTAAGAATTTAGGAATATAAATACTACATTTATTGAAATTCCAAAGTGTATGGTGCCAAATAAGTAATATTAAATTGAAGTTTTTATAAGAAAACAAACAATTTCATAAAAAACTCATAACTTTTAAAATTTTAATCAACCACATGTCATAGGAGTATTAAATATTTTAAAATTGCAAGTTTCTCTAAAAATTGTTTATTTTCTTATAATCTAACTTAAAGTAGGTATGCCGAGAGGTATGCACAAGTTTTGTTGTTAAAAGTATAAAAGCTTCAGTTTAATATGAACCATATTCAACAATTATTTAATAAACCTATATTTATATAACCATTAGGGTGGTCCTTAATAAGGTTATTTTCAAATTTCTTTGCTCCCAGGGGCTCAAATGCTTCCAAATTAATTAAAAAAAATTCCCTTAAAATTTGAGCTCTTAATATTAACTCTAAGATAGTGCGCATTCCAATATAAGTTTCCTATGGAAATAACATAGGAAAAATTACTTTTGTTGTTTATAATTTTATAACTTGGGAACGAATAAATTAAAAATTATACATATTTTTATAGAGAATTTAACGCTCTACAAAAAAGGTCTCTTATAATTTTTCCATTAGTCTATTTGTTTAAAAGTTATTCAACGTCAAAGTTTAATTTTCATATTATTATTAATATTACCAAAGCTTTTGTATGAGGCGCCGTTTGTGTCAAAATTAAAAGTGCTAAATAAACTTATTTTGTTTTATAAATAATTAATTTACCAAATAATTTTTTTATAAAATTATTTTTTTATAATTTTTTTTTGTAAAAAATTTTATAAAATAATTTTTTTTAAAATAATTTTTTTATAATTTTTTTTTGTAAAAAATTTTATAAAATAATTTTTTTATAAAATTATTTTTTTTATAAAATAATTTTCTGCGAATCAAAAATTATTTAATAAAAGACGACGCGTCGTCGCGACGGGCGCATTTATAAATTAATTTTTACTGCAGCCATCTCTATTTGTTTGTAGACACTCGAGTAAACCCGAGTAAACCCGAACGCCCCTCCCCAGATACAATTTTATGACGGACTGGGCTTTAGTTTGACGCAATTTGGGGAAACGATTGAAAATAATAATTTATTATTTTTATTCATTAATCCATTAATTTTTTTATCTACATTTATTTTGATTTTTAAACGTTTTTTATAAGAAAGCACTTGTTAAAAACTAAAATAAATAAATAAAATAATTCTCTTGAAAACAAATTAAAATAAATAAATCAATTCTCTTAAAACAAAACTAAAAATCAAAAAAAATAATTTTATACAATTTTTTAGAAAAAAAAAAATTAAAAAAAAATTATTAAAAAAAAAAATTTTTATAAAAAAATTATTTGGTAAAGCATATAATTAATTATTTATAAAACAGAATAAGTTTATTTAGCACTTTTTATTTTGACACAAACGGCGCCTCATAAAAAAGCCTTGATAATATTAATAATAATATGAAAATTAAACTTTGGCGTTGAATAAGTTTTAAACCAATAGACTAATGGAAAAATTATAAGAGGCCTTTTTTGTAGAGCGTTAAATTCTCTATAAAAATATGTATGATTTATAATTTTTAATTTATTCGTTCCCAAGTTATAAAATTATAAACAAGAAAAGTAATTTTTCCTATGTTATTTCCTTAGGAAACTTAGATTGGAATGCGCACTATCTTAGAGTTAATATTAAGAGCTCAAATTTTCAGGGAATTTTTTTTTTATCAATTTGGAAGTATTTGAGCCCCTGGGAGCAAAGAAATTTGAAAATAACCTTATTAAGGACCACCCTAATAACCATATTAACAAATTCTTTCAAATAATCCAAAATACTTATTTATTTTGGTCAAAATAAATTTTTCCAAACGTAAAATTACAAACTTAGATGATATTTTTTGTTATAATATATTAAACCTACCTTTGATACTGATATTCTTATTCCATAATGGAAAATTTAGATTTTTTTTTAATAAATGCCGTTTAGTTAAAACTAATTTATAGAGAAAACCAGATATGTAAACCAAAAAAATATTACTTATTTAAAATTTCAGTAAATGCGGTATTTATATTCTCAAATTCTAAAACCAACAATTGTTATTGTGATATTATAAAGATTTATAAACTTTTAACGCTTAAACAGCGGCAACAGTATAAATAGTATTTCTTTCATTGACTATACTTTGACAGACTTTGAGGTGTGGAGCATAGGACATTAAAAATAGATTTGTATGACAAATCATTAGTTTAAAACTAATTAGCAAAACACTTTTTTGTAAGAAGCTCCTTAATTTCAATAAAAACTTTGTTTGCAATATTTTGAAAAAATCAGTATTATAGTTTTATTTATTTTCAATAATAACAAACTTTATTAGCAAAGAGTAGAAATTTTCCAAATGAGCCTACGATTTTTGACGTTAAAAGAAAATTAGAGCATAGAAGTTGCGATTGAACATTTCTGCACCGTTTAATTAAAAAATCATTTTCTCATAAACTATTTATTAGAAATTAGTAAATATTTCAGAGGGTATTAAGAAATGAATGCTATTGGTCATTGTTGCTAATTTATAATATACAGTCGAACTTCGATAACTCGAACTATGACTTGCCACAAAAAACTTCGAGTTATCAAGACTTCAAGTTATTAAATTACACATCATTCTCACTCTTGGCGCCATTGCGAACCAATTTGATTCGAGTTATGAAAAATTCGAGTTATCGAAGTTTGAGTTATCGAAGTTAGACTGTATCTTTTTAATAAACAAATGTCGATTTTGCCTAGTACTGGGAAGTCTGAACGGTTCAAATTTAAAACCTGTTTTAACTTTTAGGTGCTCGCCCTTTTGGTTAATGATAAATAAAATTGTCTAGCTGCCCCTCTCAAGAGCAATTATTTTAAAAACTATTTAAAATATAATTATGAACTTTTTATATATTAATGATTTTGATTATGTACAAATTTTAATTTAATTGGATCAGTAGCGGCGGTTTTATAAAAATTTAAATATAAAATCTAGATTAAAAATTACATTTTGAATGTATCTTTATAAAATTGTAAAACACGTATTGCGTGTTAATAACCTTGATTCGGTAATTATTTAATTGAATCAGTAGCGCCGAAAATATACTGGTTGAACCTACAGGTGTAGCACAAACAACATTTAATTAATTAGATTTAATGCCCTGGAATCTTATTTAGGTAGTTACATTTGTCTTCGTTAAGTTTTATATTATTATCTTTGGTCCACTCACTAATGCTAAATAGGTCACTTTGTGCTTTATCGAAAATTTCTTGTTCATTTCCCGTGTCATCAGCAAAGAGTACCATATTTCCCTTTATATCACATCAAGTCAGATCATTTATATTGTTGTGAGAGGATGAATCCGTATAGAGTGTTAACGTGCACTCTCTGGATTTTTCAAAATAAACGTATTTTCTTTCTTTCTTCTTTCTTTCTATATAAATTAGAAAAAGTAATGGTCCCAGTACTGACCCTTGCGGGACCCCAAATCGGATTTTTTTCAAGTCACTTTTCTTGTCTCCAATATTTGTATACTGCCCACGTTTAGTGAAATAGCTGGTGAATATTTTAAGCGCGAGTTTTTTCATCAGAATATCCGGATCCACAACCAAAGGCTAGAAACACAGCCATTACTACCTTTTTTCTATCTATGTTTTTATATATAAATTCAGTTAGGTTGAGGATTGCGGTTTGTGCTTCTTTTCTTTTGAAAGCCTTTCTGTTGAGTACTGTTTAATTTTTTCCAGAAAATTTAGTAGTCTATTGTGCAATACTATCTCAAAAATTTTCGAGAAGACTGGAAGGACAGATATAGGCCTATATTTTTTTGCGATTTTTCGTTAAAAATGGTCGTATTGGAGCCGTAAAAAAAACAATTTGAAGCTTGAAGTTTCTAGTTTTGAGATTTTTAGATGAAAACGTGCAACGCTCAATCCTAACGAAAACCGTAATAAAAAAAATCGAAATTTTTTTGGCTTTTTTTTTGGTCCACGGAATGTTCTGACCACCAATGAATAAATGTTCTACAAGAATTTGCTATTGTTTTTTTGGAAAAAAAATGTCCATACTCTACATGAATTTAAAAAGTACTTTTGGTAGCTTTTTAAAAAATCAAGCGCTGAATCAAAAATATTATAGGTAGTTACTTTTTTTAGCACCAAATCAAAACAAGCGCGGCCCTTATTGGTCAATTCGGTGGTGGTGGCGCGTGCAAAGCGCGAGACTGTATTTACATTTACTAAATGTCATTTAGAGGCTAATCACGAACTGGACCAGGGTGGAAGAAGAAGGTGATATAGCTCCTATCTCTACAGAACAGAAGCAAACGTCCAGATAAGTCAGTATTTCGTTCGTTGTTCGTTAGATGGCGAGTCAACTAAGAACCTAAGGTTTTACCAACGAAATCCATATATTCTATAACAACTTAACTTTTAACAACAAATTATAAGATAACGAAAACCCAAGGAGAGTCTTCTACCCTCCTTAACGAAAATTACACTTTTCTTACAGCATTATTAGGTATAATAATTTGAAAAACGATTGGCAATACTGTAGTATTGCCAACTGCTCTGCCAAAATGCACAGTCGCCACAAACGCACAAAAATGACGTTGAAAAGGTTTTATTTGAATTTTAATTAAGCTATTCTTTGAAGTCAATAAATGCAATTTTACTAAAAATGGAAAAAGTTTGTTGTGCACCGGGATTTAAAAAAATAAATAGGTTCTTATTTTTGGCGCCATCTATTTTGATTTTTAACAAATACTGACTTATCTGGCTGGCCTTCAACGACCACCCTGAACTGGACTGGAAACATACAAAATTAGGCAAATGGGACTAATCTTAAAAAAAACCTAAAACATGAAAAAAAACCATTTGAAAAAAAAACAATGAAAAAAAACCTGAAAAAAAAACAAAAAAAACGGACCGTTTTTTTTTCAAGTCGCATCTCTAATTCCTACAGTCTGAATGTAGTTAGACACACTTTCATCTAATTTTTGATAGTTTACTATTTTTGATGTTTGTTTTTCTTTCACTGGCCAGATAATTTTTGCATCAAAATCAAATGATATCATTTTAAGTCTGTAATAACATGATCAATTACTGTTTTTGTTCCTTTTACTATATCTATTCGTGTGGCATGTTTTTCAGATAATTTATTTAGAATTTTAATTCCATTCTCACGAAGTAATTGCATATATAGTATTTCACTCTCCAAATTAAATTATTTTTCTATTGTATAAACGTAGTAAAAGTATAGTCTGAAACACATTTGAAATTGCATATTCGCCTCTTGTGAAACCGGCTCGTATGACAAACTTTTCACTCGAGCGTAATATTCTAAACTTGTTACAGAATATACCGTTAATAACAATAAACTTAAATTCTTTTAAAATTTTATAAAGATGCATTAAAAAGTTTATAAAATAATTTAACTATTAATCTACCTAACAAGATTTTTATATTTTTTATTAAATTTGTTTTATAATTTTAAAAAACTCCCAAAATTTCGTTACGGAAGAGAGAATTTTCTAAAAAAACTTCCAAAAAGTTGTTGGGTTTTTTGCATATATTCATGCAACAACGTTTTATAAAAAAAATAGCTCTTAAAATTGACAGTATTTTAAAAGTCTGTTGGCATCTGTGTGATAAACGTAAGTTATTAAAACAAAAAGTTTGGGTTTTTTTCAAGATGGCGAAACCAAAATATATATATTTAATTTGTGCTTTTTCGTATTGCTTTTACTGGCCTATTAACAAGATTTTAATTATTGAACCAATTAAAATTTCATCATTTATCTTTATTATATTTTTAAAAATTTTGGCCACATTTTTGTCATTTCAGTCCATTGTTATCTTAAGCGGATACCGCTGCGCACAGAGCTTAACAATATTATTTATCTTAATCTTAAGCGTTTAGTCTTCCCTACTACTTAAAAAACGTGTGGATGACGGCAAAATTTATTAAAAAAATGATATAAGTAAGCAACAATAACGTATAGTATAATGAGAGATTATTGCTCATTGCATTTATTCCTTAACATCCACTGCAATTTTCATAATTTTTTTTATAAATAGTTTGCAAGATGATGATTTTTCAATAAAACGTTAATAAACAAATGAATTTTTATCAAAATTTTTTATAATGTTATTTGACATTAAAGATTAATCTAATTAGTTTCCAATTCTTAGTTCTAATTGTTGTTTTAACATCAAAAATCGTAGGCTTACTTAGGAAATTTATACTTATTTTATTATAAAAAATATGTAAAACTGTAGGTACTTAAAATACTACTAAGCACAAATTATTTAAGCAATAATACAAAAACTGTGCTTAGGTAAATAAAATCTTTGAAAATAAAGACAAGGGTTTAGTTTAGAAAAAGGAATTTTCAAAAAAGATATGTAATTATGAGGCCCTTGGAAATTTCCGATATTTCCGTTTCCATTTACAACACTAATTAGCTTTAAAAATAAATTATCAGGAAAATATAATTAAAAAATATTGAACGCCATAATTGGAAATTTACAAATTAATATTTTCGATTGCAGATATAAAAGAAATATGGGAAAAGCCCAAGAGGAGGCAAATCTATATGCTGCCAAGAAAGCTTTTTCACATTATGAGTAACTATTAGTACACAAACAAAAATCCTCACAACAATGTTCTGAACTGTTAGTAATTGTTTGATTATTCTTATAAAATGCAATTTTACAATCCTACAATTCATAACAAATTGGAGGTGTAAATATGTAACCGGATGTAAGCGAAAGACCGGAAATGAACCCTTTTTTGGCAGCATTATTTTGTTTTCCTACTCATTACTCACTTTATTTGTTATAGTAAAGATTTTTCCGACCGTTCGTTTATATCCCCTCAGACCGCAAACTTACATCTCATTACCTTGTTTTCAGATACAAAAAGAACATAGGCAAAGCTCAAGAGGAAGCGAATCTGTACGCGGCCAAGAAGGCGGCTGGGGCGTCGCCTTACAGCGGCACGCCCACCCCCATGATGTCTCCTGCGCCGCCGCAGGACTCGATGGGTTATTCCATGGGCTCGGCTTACGACCAAGGCTCAGCGTACGATGCCAGCAGCTGCGGCTACGATCCCATGCATCCGCAGGAACTGTCGCCTTAAGAGCATCCTCAGCTTTAGCTTAAACACTCAGTATACTACTTTCGCGTATCTAAATATAGGCCTATTTGACAATGCTTCACGAGTTGCGGTAAGTTTCATTTATATAGCTACGATTTTTAATGTAGTGGTTTTTTATAGTACTACTTTGTAATATTTGGCAGCACTGCAACTCGATAAACATTTCAAAACTGAACAAGTATACGATACATACCTTGTATACGGAGCATTCCATACCAAATCGACCACTTTTAACTGAAACATTTTTATCATTTTCTACCCTATCAAAAATATTTTTCAGAATTTTTTTAAATTTATTCTCCAAATCATAAAAAAATTGCTCTTTCGTTTTCAAATATTTATAACTTGTTTAAAAATTCACTTATGGGGACGTTTTTTTTCTTTTAAAATGTTTGGTTTTTAAATGTACTTTTAAAAAAGAGTCTGCAAAAAATTATTCACAGCAATCTTTAACGTTTTTTCTTTATTTTCAGAAAAAAACGAAAATTTCTCATGATTGTCATTTTTAATTTTTTCTTTCTTTTTTTATTATTAACTTTGACATTTTCGTTTTCTATTTTTTTATGGAAAAAAATTAACTATTAAGTTTTCAAAAAAATATATAAAAAATTGATGATTACCACTTTCAATTTCATTTTTCAAACTTGAAGTTCTCTCTACAACCTCAAAAATCTCCCGAATGGTATTATGAGAAATAATCTGAGTTAAAAAAAAATTCTATTAATATAAAAAAAAGTCAATTTATATAGATTTTTGAAAGATAAATAGGTATTTTTTTATTATTAAAAAAACAACTGTTTTGAAAGTTTTACGTAATTTATTAAATGTTGACAATTGTAGCGAAACTTTCAAAACATGGTTGTTTGTATATTTACATAGGCATTTTTTTGAAAAACGGCACTTTTTTCCGTTGGGTAAAAAAACTGAAAAATGATTGATAGGGTAGAAAAGGATAAAAAGTTCTAGCCAAATCGAAAGGGGTCGATTTTGTATCGAATGACCCATACATACTAATAATTCGTTATTTTTAATTTCAAGAGTACTTATTTATTCATTTCATTTGAAGCAAACTTTCATTCAAACTGTATTGTGCATTATTACCCTTGCAGTCTTGTTCTTCAGCAAGTAAATTTGTTATATCAGATTTTTTAAATTTCACATTATATAATGTATTTTTATGTTATGCAATTTTCAATCTGGTCTTTAAATTTGTCTTGCTGAGGTAATGGGCATTTAAGGTCTTTAGTTTAAGATTTTAGGTTAATTAAATTTATTACATAAGTTTTATGTATTTTCTCTGTATTTTAAATATGGGGATGACCGTCAATAAATGTGCATTTTATTAAATCAAGTTTTTTTAATATTAAACCTTGTAAATAAAACTAAACTCTATTGGTAAGTAGATCTATATTTGCATTTTAGTATAAAAAACAAGTTATCCAACATTAATTTATAAATAAAAACTCTTAAAAATGTTGTTGTTTATTTTTATATTTGATTTGATTCAATCAAATTGATTGTGTTACCCTTTTAGTTCATTTTCTGCAACTGCATACTGCAACCTATTTGTGCCTCATCAAAGAAACTCTACTATATGCAAATTCTTTTCAAGTGTCCTTATATTTTTGTCAATATGTAAGTCATCGACATTTAAATAAAAAAAACATTAGTTCGTTGAATGGATTGTATATGTTAATATGTTTAGGAACATCGAACTGGCGCCCTTACTGCACACGGTAAATTGTGGAAGCTTTAAAATAAATCATTCACAAGCAAACTAAAATTACACAATTAAAATCTTTTATATATCAAGAATATTTTCAATCAAAGATAAAAATTTATATAATAAACAGTTAATTTTATATTGACCCAAACGGCGCCTCATACAAACATCATTACAATTAAATTCATAAAACAAACTATCATTATCAATGTATAATAGTTTTACGCTATTAAAGATAATCATAATAAAAATCATAGATATAAGGATATTTCATTATCAATGTATAATAGTTTTACGCTATTAAAGATAATCATAATAAAAATCATAGATATAAGGATATTTCGAACATTGACACACCAATAGAATTCTCGTTAAAAATATTAACTATATGTATAGTTCGGTTTAAAAAATTTGGACTACATATAATATATATATATGTTACGCCGAATTTGCGTAATTGCCGATTTCATGTAATAGGCAAAATTTTGCCTAATTCATGAAATCGGCAACGGACTTGCCGATTTCATATAATGGGCAATTATTTTAATTAAGTTTGCCTATTTTAACGAATAGGCACACAGATAATTTAAAAATTTAAAGTCACATGAGCTTTCAAATATTTTATTACAAAAATAAAAAAATATATAATCTTTCAACATTTTAATACATTCTTTATAAATAAAGTCACAAAATATGTATATTTTCTCTAAACAATAAAACTAAAACTTTATAATTTTTAATATTCAAAAATATCACAGCTTCTTGCAGCATGGCAAGACATTTGGGGCGGGGGGGGGGTTCTGCAATGGGGCGGGGTCGGTAGGGTCAGCGTTGCCAACCCTACGGATTTTTCCGTAGATCTACGTATTTTAAGGGTCATTAACGGATAACCGGATTTTGTCTGAAAATCTACGGATATTTGGACATTATCGCATAATTCATAATTACTTGATATTTTATGTATTAAAACCTGCGACAAGTAAAACATTGCTTGAACCCCTTTTTATATTTTCTAACAATTTCGCTCCGTCCAGTAAACGGCAGGTATAAAACCTTGCACAGAACGTACTCATGGAATGTTTCATGGAACGTTTCATGGAACGCACTCATTAGTTTAGGAATTTTGTTTGTTACCAGCAGTTTACCAGAAAAAGTGCTGTCTGTCAAAAAGATGCTGTGAAAAAAATGGCCCACTAAAGTTTTAAATTTGTTTTGGTATCTATTTACATTTAAAAGTTTTTTATACATGTATTACACTATTAGTATCTAATTACATTGTTTATAAATATATGAATTTATGAAATGTGTAAATTTTAAAAGCGCCAAGCACTACTAAGAAAGCGCCACCTTGCGCTAAATAACTGAACAGCTGATAAATATTGAGTACCAATCAAAATTTTTAGTGAAAATTCGTAAATCTATCCAAGTTTCTAAGTCGCCGCGGTGCCTGCCACCTCTGATCCCTGGTACGGATAAATGTCCGGATTTTACCCTTCACCCATGGATTTCTACGGATATTTGACTAGAGAACTCAGGATTTTTCGAACGAAAAGGTTGGCAACGCTGGGTAGGGTTGTGTTGTTGAGTTTGGCTCATTTTTGCGGTATTTTATCAATATTCATTTTTTTTACAAGTTTTTTTTCTCCTTTATGTCCGCAAGCTGTATGTAAATCTCGAATTACATTCCATGCATTCGTTTTAGTAATCATTATTTTGTTATCTTTAATTCTACATACAGTAGAAACCGTCAATATATGAACGTGACTCATCGGGTGCCGAACATATCTCAGACATGCTAGCAGTAATGTTTTACTTGTCTTGTACATTCGATGCAGCGGTAAATGTACTCACACGTAGGTTTTTAAGCATCCGGTCTAAAATGCGCCATCTGTGATGTAAAACCACAGAACATAAGAGAATTAAAAGCGCTGTAGTGAAAAGTGGCAACATGCATTGTTTGATTTTTAAATCTAGCAGGCTTGGAAATCCGAGGTGCCTGTAAGCCATTGGTGGAAATATCCACACGATTTCTGCGGCGCGAATTTTGAATTTTTATTTAAAATATGGAATTATAACCGAAAATTGTTAAAATTTTATATTTTTTTGGGTTTTTAAAGAACCATATAGTTAATATTGTTCTTTAAAAATCAAAAAATATAAAATTTCAACAATTTTCGGTTATTTTCCACTAATTAAGTGGAAAAACACACATTTTTGTTTTTTTATAAATATATTAAACAAAATATACACTTAATTCAATTTTAAATTATGTAAATTATAACCAACAAATAATATTTAAATGAGGAAAAATTCAAAGTTAATTATTCTATAACTTTTAGTGAAATTTAAAAAAATCAAACATATCAAACATATATAATAATTTATAATTATTTAGGTATAATTTATCAAAAAGTATGACATTAAATTGATAATTACCCTCTTATATATGCCTACAAGACAATTATCGCTTGATTACAGCGATAATTTTCAGAAATTTTAATTTTGTGTCACATAATAACAATTTTTATAGGTTTTTTAAGATTTCTTAATAAAAATGCAAAGGTTTATAAACAAATTAACTCTAAAACATATTACAAACCATTAAAATATTTGATAAATACTAATACTAACAATAGTTCAATACTTATTGGTCCTTACTAGAAAACAACCTTTTAAAACAGTTCGAGTATATTATATAATTAAAATTAGTTTAAATTTGAATATGTAATTCATAAAAATAAATAATTTTGTAATACATACTGACTTATTGTATACCTAAAGGTATTTTCAGATTTCTTAATGTAGTATTAAATTTCTTTATTGGAATAAACCAAAAGGCTAATGCCTAAAATGTTTAATGCAATAATTAGACTTATTACAAACCATACTCTTATAATTTTTAGGAATTATGATTATAATTTGTTTTTAAAATAAGCACAATACTGTAGTTTTGTAAAATATAGAATTTTTGGCAAAAAGGAATTCCTACTTATCCAAAAATTAAATTGCATTCTTTGGAATATTTAATTTTTTAGTAAAATTGGTTTAATTTAAATTAATAATCAATAGAACCACTTAAATCTCAATGTTAAAAATATTGTAATTATGTATTTGGCAAAATTAAAATCTTTATGTATGATTTAACTTTCTGGTCAATATTAAGTATTAATTGTCTTTTTTCTTGTTCATGATTCATGGATTGAACCTGCGTCTTTTTCTTGATTCAATGAAGAATATTCAACTGCAATTAATATTTTCTATGTTCTTTTGCAAAGAAGTTTGATAAATTCAAGTCCTGTCTGCTTCTTCCATTAACACAAACCCAAACCTGAAATCAATACCAATTTTAAAATCAATTTAAAGTAAAACAATTGATATTACCTAATAATGTTTAAAATTAAATAAAAATAATGTATCAATATTTATGCTACTTATTTATGCTAAAGGTAATTGTTTTACCAGCATACAAATAATTGAATGGTTTATTGTAAAAACAAGCTAAGTAACTAACTAAATATGATTTTGTTTATTTTTTAATTTAAAAATCTTATAAAAACTAATAATGGTGAACTTGTGCTGTTTT